GTAGCACCTGAGATTGCGGTGCGGAAAAATTAAATTTTCAAGTCGAAGTAAAAGACAATCAGAGGAGAACGCCACAATGCTTTGAGACATTCTTTTTTGTCTTTTCCTTCTGTTTGAAAGTTCCTCAATTTTTTTCGCACCCCAATCTCAGGTGTCACATTATAATTAATTATCACCAGCTCGCTTGCACACTCACTGTTTTTTTTTTGTTTTTTGTTTTTTTTTAAGGAGAGGACACTTCTTTATGAGAGGGTTGCTTGCGGAAGCTATGTGGCTGATGTCATGCCTCTCTCCTTATACATTTAACCCCCTTGGGTGCAACAATCCAGGGCAACTGGGGGCGCCAAATTCAGAAGAGAGACTTCTGAATTTGGCTGCATTCCTCAAAATAACTACTCTGTGGCCACTTGACTTCATCCAATATTCTCCGCTCTTTTTGAAAATAGGTCATGCACCCCTGATTACCCCTGGGCAATGCATACCAGTTAAAAATCACTGTATAGGGGAATGAAAGGGCATAATAAAATATCGTGTTAGATAGTTGTACTTTCATATTAAAAATAACACAAAAAAGACGGGACAAAAAGACGAAGAAGCACACAGGACAAGCGCTTGTACTGTGTGCTTCTTCGTCTTTTTTGCGCTATTCTTAATATGAATGTCAATTACCAACTTGCCCAGCAGACCAAGCTTTTACTTGTACTTTACTTTGAAAGTGCATTGTATTTATAGTACTTTACTTCAAGTACGTTGCACCCAGTGTACTTAGTACTTTACTTAAAATACATCACGTCTTTCATTTACTTTGTACTTTACTTGGAGTACCTTTTAGATGTACTTTACCCCACACTGCCTGCATCACTTTCAGACGACTGAAATACACCGAGAGACGGCCCACATTTTGGCAAGGTGATTCTACGTCGACGACCTGCTCATCGGAGCAAAGAATGAGTGTGAAGCAGTGAAAATCTACCGTGAAACGCACGAAATTATGCGAGAAGCTGGCATGGCGATGAAGAAGTGGACGTCAAACAACACGGAGTTACAAGAGTGCTTCACTGAAGGTAAAGACGAGATTCTGAAAGGTCCTCTAGAAAAAGCTCCCGAAGTGAAGATCCTGGGCGTGGTATGGAACACATCTGGGGACACCCTTAAGATTTCACTAGAAACTGTCATAACTTTTCTAGCGTCGCGAGTCAACACAAAGAAGTTCATTCTTCGAGCGTCGTCACAAATTTTTGATATCATGGGCCTATTTTCACCATTCACAATTAGTGCAAAAATGATCTTTCAGAAGCTGTGGGAACAAAAGATTTTCTGGGACTCTGATGTTCCCGAGGACGTCAGTAAAGAGTGGAACGCGTGGTGCATTGAGGTTCACCAACCACTTACCATACCACGATTCTTGTTCCACGAAATGCGAGGATTTTTTTTGGACCAATGAACTGCATGTTTTTACAGATGCGAGTCCTCAAGCACGGCGCTGCACTTTACATTCGATCAACGGACAATGAAGGACACATGGAGACTCATTTACTAGTTGCAAAAGCTCAAGTGGAAGGCAAACTCTCCCACGGTTAAAACTGATAGGAGCACTCATCGGAGCACGGCTCTTGCAGGGAACGTGAAGAAAACCTTTGAAACAGATGACCGGGCGGGCACGAGAAAACCGCCCAAAATGCTAGCTGAGATTCTATTTTTATTTATCTGCACAGTGTAATTTTTCAACACCAATAAGATTGTCTGGTTATTTAACAGTCAACAAATGTGTTCTGTAGCAAAAAAAAAAAAAAAAAGAATTAGGGGTTTGCAAGCTTACCCCCCCCCCCCCGCAAAAAAAAAAAAAAAAAAAAAAAAAAAAGCGCAAAATTCAGCGCGAGGTTTCGCTTCGAGACGTGCACCCCGGTTGGTACAGACTATTTTACCAGGGTAATCTTTAATTTTATCGTATGCTTTATTAGCTCCATGCGGATCAAAGGTGGGCGATCCGTGGTTGCTTTTTTTTAACGAAATAATTATTTACATAGCAGAATACGTGTGGGGCGGAACACGACAATCTGGCATTCCGTGACGCGCATGTCAATAACGCACGAGTTCTGAGCCATATTATGATTTCCCGGTGTCTAGGATAATTCAAACATATATATATATATATATATAAACCAAGGGCTTCATAGTGCGAAAGTGTCACGAATAAAGCTCTTGAAAGTGTCAAGCAACAGCGTCACTTCCTTCGCACTGCTGCCACACTTTTTGGCGCACCAAAGGATGCGCTTGAAAGGCGAGTTAAGCGACACGAAAAACGTAAAAAACAACACTATAAAAAATAAATAAAAGAAGTCTAGCTTACAGACGGCGCGTTTTAAATTTAGCGGAGAAACGTCCCATAATAGAGAGTTTTCGTAGACCGCGTTTCCCCTCCGCTAAAGCGCGATCCAAACCAACGCTTCTTTTTGCGCCTGTAGGTCGTGGGGCTGCGGATGTGACGTATTTTCGTGACGTCGCGCCACTTCTTCGCTCCTTCCGAGCGCGCACAAAAAAGTTGGATAATTTCAACTTCTTTCTCAACGCGCACAAAAACGCGCGGTGACGTATAGGGCGCTCCTGTTTCCCGGCCAATCGGTGGAGGGCAAGCTAGTTCCGGCTCCGCGTTTCTTCGCCGCCTTCTCAGAGCAAGTGACAAAAGCGCCCGGTGCGCATCCACAGTTGGCCCTCTCCTCCCCCCACTTTTATTCTCTTCCAACATAACAACGCGATCTCTCTCTCTCTCGCCGCCTTCTGGCTGCGACAGACCGGCCTGGCCGGCCAGTCTGTTGCGCGCATGCGCGCTCGCCCGAAGCTGGCCCGTCCAAACCAAAGCGCACGGTTCTGACTCAGAAAGTGCGCCCGGAAACAGCAAAAACGTCAGGAAATGCGTCACATCCGCAGCCGCACGACCTACAGGCGCAAAAAGAAGCGTTGGAGCGCAACGGAAACAAAAAGAAGCGCAACGGAGCAGCCGCTACTGCGCCGGCGCGCCGATGGCCTTGACTGTAGAGAGAGACTGTAGACTGTAGAATACGTGGAAATTCTACAAATTAATTTGCAGAATTTTCACGTATGGGAAATGTCAATAGTGCGCGCTTGAACGAAGTGGGTACTTCCGCGGTTTTTTACGCAATGCTCGACAGGACTGTGAAAATCTGCTTTTTAGGTGTCTCTGTAGTTTGCCCTCCTCTTGTTTTGAGTTGTCGATTTCCTTTTGTGTTGCATCGAGACGATGCGTTTCTTCAAGAGGGGCATGGGCGTACCAACCGGGAAGGGGGGGGGGGGCAGGCATGTATTTTGAGCCCCCCCCCCCCCCCCCCCCCCCCTGAAACAGCCGCCACTGGGCAGGGCATACACTGGCCGGTGGCGGCTAAGGGATACCAAGAGCACCGCCCCCGGCCTTTTGGGAGGCGGGTCTGGTTTGCCCCCCCCCCCCCCCCCCCACTCAAAAAGAAGTTGTTACGCCACTGAAGAGGGGAGTAATGCCGCGTGTGATCCGCTGAGTCAGCAGCATGCTCCACTGGCTTGGGTTTGATCCCCGCCAGCGCTTGTCCTTTCTTTCTTTTGTTTGCATGACTGGAGTGTTCCAGAGGACTTGAGAATCTTGTTGCTTGATCGAGCTTAAAAACTTATAAATACCCACGCGCTTACAAAAGGAGCTTTGCATGGCTGCTTGAGTCAGTCGCCCTTCTGTCGCCGTCAAAGTACGGTCTTTGCTACTCGGCACAAATTCGTCGCATTAAACTTTCATTTTAAGTTCTATTAATCAAGTTTATAAGCTGAAAATAGTAGTAGTTAATAACGTTATCGCATTCAAATAAGCTTGCTCGGACCAAAATGGCGTTGGGACACGCACATGCCATTTTCAGCATCAGACGCGATAGTCACACGCCCAATAAATATATCTGACGTTTGTGTTGAGTGTTTTCTGTTGACACAGACTCAGAAGTATAGTCCCGGTAGCGTAAATTACGGTCGCGTAAGCTCCGTTCGCGTAAGCGCCGATCGCGTAAACGCCGATCGCATAAGCTCGTAAGCGCCGGTAGCTGAAGCTGACGTGTCCTGGCATCCTTGACGTCGTCCTAGAGGTCGCCCTAGACGTCTTTCTTGACATCGCGCCCTCTAGGACGCCGTCCTCAAGGCCGTCCTAGGCGTCATGTTTGACGTCGTCCTTGACACGGTTCTAGAGGTCGTCCCAGACGTCGTCCTCTAGGACGTCGTCCTCGAAATCTACCTAGACTTCGTCCTTGAGGTCGCCCTAGACGTCGTTCTTGACGTTCGTCCCCTAGGATGTCGTCCTAGGTGTACCATTTCCTTTCCTAATTGTTTTCACTCCATATGTTTTTGTAAAGCTACCGCATTTCATCGCGTTTGGCCGAAGGAACAAAGCTGGAAAACTCTTTTTTGCTTCCTGGACGACTGTAGTATTTTATTTAAAAAGCTACAAAAACATCTTTGAGGCGTCGAGAGGTATTTTTATTCACAATTGAAAGTAAAAAGTCAACTAAAAAGCTAGAGAAAGTCAGATGAAAAGCTGTTGATATTTTATACCCATTTGGTGGCTTTTTTAAACACATTAAAAAAAATCACCATAGTAGTTTGTAAAGAAACAATTGGATACGTGTTTCGGGCACCGTAGTAGCATCCCCATTTTATGGGAGTTCGATCGCCGAAAACAGTGACAGTTTTGCGGTTAGTCAATAACTCTCTGGGGCACATAAGAGAATTACGAACAAAGATATCACTTGTGGCCCGGGCCACCCGAGCGGGCAAAGTGTGAACCTGGCGCGCCTCCAACCGGCCCACACTATGGTGACACGCGGCGATGCCAAGCATACAGAAGACGAACGGTATCTAGCCCTAGGGGAGCTACTGATAAAAAAATCGCAATCTTTCTTGTATTGTGTGACTCCTCAGGATGCATTAAAAGCTTATCTGCGGAGATAGTGCGTCTCTCAAGTCCGGCGAGATATGCGTGCTCACCATAAAGACTGCTTTACTTCTCCCAAGTTTGGAGAGCACCGAACCTGGTAACCTACCATGTCCATGTCTGATCGTTTGGCTTTGGTGACTGGAGGAGCGAGTGGCATCGGGAAATGTGTGTGTCACGCCCTTGCCATGGAAGGCGCGACGGTCGTTGTGGCCGATATAAACGAAGATGCTGCGACTGAAGTGGCTGTGTCCTTACCTGGTGAGTGTTTCAGTTATATAATCCTACATAAAAGCAAACAGAAAGTTCATTCCGTGAAACGTCCTCTATAAACGTTTACAGGTAATGCCTTCCTGTATGCTTTCCCACAAAAATGTAACAGGAAATGCCTTCCTGTAAGACTTCCTGTAAGTGTTTATATGGGATTTTTCAATCGGGTCCTCTGGTCTAACCTCTCCCTTCGTAGAAAAAATATCTCGCCTCTGTTTTTGCAAGATTTATCACCCTAGCCCAACATTTCGCCAAGCACTGTTTTCAGTACCATCTTGCATATCAAGCGCCAATTATGAACTAAACGTTAGGATCCACCATTGCAGCACATCTACTTTTAATGCCTCCTTTTAAAGGCTGGTTTAAACAGTTACATTTTCTTACGTTACGTTACGTTACCTTACGTACTTCACCGGGACATCTGTGCTTCACATTAAAGGGGCGGTGCAACGATATTCAACTGGAATGGTTTTCATTTTACACGAGCTTACTGGCACTAGTGGGACTCAAGGATACTCGCACCCAACGCCACTGACCAAGGAACTCCTTTGTTTAGGGTGACCATATACCTCAAGGTAGAAAACGGGACATCCCAGTCGGGGGGTACTAAAGATTGAGATTGGTAGTACAAATTGAATTAAATAACTGGTCCTATTTCAAAACTTTACCATATTCCACTAAGCACTGGAACAGTCAAACTCACAGTTCAGTTCCATGCACCCATTTGGAAGGTGTTTGTGGGCAAGAGCAGCTCTAAAGTTTACTCTCTGGGTAAATATTTTAAAGCACCTACGGTAATTTTTATAACCTAAACCTGTAACGCGTAGGCATAGTTTCGGTTTGCTTCAACTCGCTTGGTGCCAATTTCAAAGTTATGCCCTCCTGCGAAAACGGGACATGATTCTTTATCGGGACGAAAAGACGGGACGGCCGAAGAGGACATCAAAAACGGGACTGTCCCGGCCAAAACGGGACGTCTGGTCAGCGCCTACCTTTGTTGCGCTGTAATTTCGAGGACACAACCGAGTGTTTTCATTCAATGTCTCCTTCGCAAAACCTGATGACGTAGCTGGGCGGTAGCAGTACCGCCCAGTGACGATATTTGAATGCGAATCATAGATTGGACCCGAGCAGGACACTCGAGTTGGGCTCGTGATAATCAATAGCTCGAGAAGCATTGGGGTGGTGTCTTGTGTCCAATCGCTGCAATGACGACAATAGCCGAACCATAACAATGTCTGGAACTCAGCGCGTGTCCTGTGCCTTGCCAGCCCCTGCACATGGCTATGATCAACATTGGCGGCATATAATCGTCTCCAGATCACGTGGCCGCTTGTTCTGGCTGCGAGTTGAGGAAGTGAACTCTGCTCGTTTTTCTTTATTTTTTTTCTGCGACTTCGATTGCGTGTGGTGAAAAACGAACGGGTATTTCTCAAGTCATTAACGTCAGGGATTCGTTCTAAGCGGTATTTGCGCAAAATACAAAAATCGTTGCATCGCCCCTTTAAGTGTGACTACCAGTTCAAGGAGATAACCTGGTACGCGACATTTGAGTGACGAATGTTTCGGTGGCTCAGACGTATACCGTAAGAAAACGCGAGGAAATAGTTCTGCGTGAGCCAGCCTTTACCCCAAACCTCAATTGATCGGAATCGCCTTCCCGCAGCCAGAGTTTCAATTCAAAACACCGTCGACTTTAAGATTGCAGTGATCAATTTGTTCAATTAAATTTCGTACTAATCCTTATCTTTATATTTTTATTGTTTTTCACCTCTATCCTTATGTTACAGTCCCATTCCCCTCTGCCTTCGGGCCCTGGGATAAAAACGAATGAAATGAAAACTCCATTAGCCATGTGTGTGGTTCGGAGTTTTCTCTGGTGTGGACTAGAATGCAACAGCGGGCCAGTTCACTTGACTTACAAGTCAATGACAGCTCAGAGAACGAAGATTCCCTGAGCTGTCGTGGTCGGAACGTGACTTCCGACCATGGAGGTAGGAAGCTTCTGGAAGCGACATGACGCCACCAGAGGTGAAGCCGGGGGAGACTTCTGGTTTCGAGGGGCAACACCACTGATCTCTATGACTATTTGCTGGATCGCGTTTGCCCAACTCCGCCTATGCACAGGAGTGTGGCCACGGTCGTCCATCTTTCTGGTAGAGTTATATTATCTCTAGCCATCATAGTAATATGGGGGACAGCGCTGTGGTGGCAGGCTGCCATAAAAATGGCCGTGGGTCTATAGCACGCTGTACCGTGGGTGATATTTTGTGCGTAATTGAAAAAGTCGCTCGACGAAGCGGATTCTCGAAACTCAGTTGATGCAACAAGAGAAGGTTGAGTATGCCGTCATGTTGTGCGGCGCGCTGTTCAAATCGCCCCAATCGCGGAAAGACAAGAACTTACCATCGGTGAGTATTCAGTGTATTGTGGCTATCTTTGTGCGCAGGGATACGTTCGGTGAAAAATATTTATTTGTTCCCAAGGTTTCCAACAAGTCGCCCCAAAACGTGTACCCTATCTAACGGGCGGTAGATTGCGCCACCATACTACTATGGTGTGACTAGAGATAATATCTCTACCAAAAAGATGGCCGACCGTTTCGCGGAGCGGGCAAACGCGATCCAGCAAGTAGTCGTAGAGATCAGTGGACAACACCCACAACGACGACCACAACCACTGATCTCTACAACCAAAAGACGCTATTGAGTGGACTTGGGCAACCTTGGACGTTATTGGACGGACTTACGCACCCTTGGGGGCGTTCCCACCTACCGCGACCCCTACTTCCGTCTTCACTTGGGATTTTCTTGTTTGGCTGACTTGAGCCGGTATGTCGCCTCCGCTTATTCCTACCTCCATGCTTCGAAGCATGATCCATTACCGCTACGAATCCCACGAGACTGCGGCATCATCCGCGAGGATGGCAGAAGAGCAAATCAAAACAGAACGAAAAACTCAAACCGCTAAAGTTTGAAAACCCAACGTTTAAGGCACACCGTGGTTGAAGGTGAGCTCGATGCCTTGACCACGGGTGACTGTTTATGTCCTTGTCGTTGTCTTCCAAAATGCCCGGTGACGTTGTTTTTTTTTTTTTTTTTCTTTTTATTAAGTTTTTACGTCTTTGAAATTGCCCGGTGCGATTGTTGCATTTCAAAGTTCAGGGTATCTTTTGGTGTTTGTTTTCTTTGCGCTTCCCGCGTGACGTATCCTAATCCAGAGATGCAGCTGTTTGGTAGCGTTCCAGCAACCGGTCTACTGGAACGATTCCAATTAACTACATCTCTCGCAATGTAAAAAAAAAAAGAGGTCTGTGTATGTTTATACACAGCCGGGCTATAGATACGCGCCAGCGAGCGCGCTTCCTCTTAGTCCGTTCGCTTCACTTCATCATTGCCACAGCAGGGCAAGTTATTGTCACTTCAGGTGCTACTGTGTCCTCCCCAGCATAGGCCGGTACGTTTATACTCACACGTAACGTCGACGGGCGCGGCGTAGCGCAGATATCGAGTTCCTGGTTGCCGGACAATGAAAGGCGCGCGCGTTCTGCGCTACGCTGCGTTCACTGCGCTCAACGTCGGAGTATAAACTGCCCTTTAGTGGAGGCTCGTCAACGCCCGCTTCAGTGGCTCAGAATCTTGGTAAGACGAGTAAAGGTCGGCAATGGCGGTTCAGCCTGGCGCCATTTTAATGCGTCTATACAGTCGGAAGTTGCCAGTTAGTCTGCCTCAGTGGGCTTCTGGTGTCTCAGCTGTAGATGAACAATTTAGCCAGTTCGGTACAACCATTAGCCTGGGGTCTTTAACGTGCACCACGCAGTAGTGATACAGGACCGCACGCCGGTACGATGCTCATCTACAGAGTGAAACAAGGAGACGCCAGGCTCTTTAAATCGACCGAAAAATTCGGTTTCTTAACCTATCGCGCCACGACTTTGTGCAGCGTTGCCCACAGATAGTGCTTTTTTTTTTTTTTTTGTAAAATTTGCGAAGAGCGAATTTACTTGAGGAAAAAGGAAAGAAAGAAAAAGGCTTAGCTCCTATGGAAACGCAGCGACGCCACCGGTCTGCAAACAACACGGCGTTGTTTCGCACGGGAGACAAGAGATGGCGCAAGCGGTCGCTACGCCAACTGCCGCCAACGAACCAGCAGACGACGCCGAGAGCCGGCCCTTTTGCAGACAAGGAACTGCAGTTCCTTGCTGTTACCGCGCCTGTCTTTTTTGTTTCTGCGACTGTCGCCGCCTGCGGAACGCACGCCGCTTTCGAGTCGAAAAGATCGTCTGCTAAAGACGCTGGCTCTCGGCGCCGTATGCTCGTTCGTTGGCGGCGTTTGTTGCGCCATCTCTTGTCTCCCGTGCGAAACGGCGCCGTGTCGTTTGCAGACCGGTGGCGTCGCTGCGTTTCCATAGGAGCTAAGCCTTTTTCTTTCTTTACTTTTTCCTCAGGTAAGTTCGCTCTTCGCAAATTTTACAAAAAAAAAAATATGCACCATCTGTGGGCAACGCTGTACAAAGTCGAAACCGAATTTTGCAGTTGATTTAAAGAGCCTGGCGTCTCCTTGTTTCGCCCTGTAGATCGAAACGAGCAGGGGTGGGGTTTGAACCAAGAATGCCTGGGTTCTGCAGCGCGAGCTTTCGCTCCACGTGCTCCGAACTGCTGTGCGCTATCTGTAGGTGAACGGAGTATTGCCCAGTTGGCCACCGATCACCTTGTTGACGATACGAGCAATGCGACGCTCGCAATTTCGTCATGTTTTCAACAAAAAAAAAATAGTTTTTTTTTTTTTGTTAGGCGGCAATTAGTACGTTTTTGGCAGACTTGTACCGTACGCATTACAAGTAATCAAATTACTTGTAATCGATTACTTTTTGGAGTAATTTTGTAATCAGTTGATTACTTTTATTACGCAGTAATCACAGGAGTAATCTGATTACTTTTTGAAGTAATAAAATTACTTGTAACCGTTACAATTCGTCCACGGGACCACCC